CCCCTCAAACCCCCCCGCCCCCCCCCCCCGTTCTCTTTCCTCACAAAAAAAGTAAAAATAATTTCTCGCGAAGGCGGTCCGGTGTTTTTTTGAACCAGGGAAGCTGCGCACCTGACTCTCCAGCGCAACTCTCGCCGTGTCCGACTCGTGCTTCAGCTCGTCCAGCTGAACCCGTAGTCGGAGGCACTCTGACGCGGCGTCGCCGCCCCCGTTCGGTGACCCCGCCCCTGATCCCCGTCCTAGTAGTAGCGTTTTGCGAAAGAAAATGTTGCCCCCCGGGATGTTTTGTCGCGCGATGATAGTGTATCAGTACATGAGGGGGGGGGAAGTGAGACCCTAAAGATCCTGTGATGTACAGGAGCATCCGAAAAGAAGACTAGAAATATCATGTGGTCACCCGCATAACATCAGCACTCCCAACAACGACGCAAGTTCATGGACAGTGGTGCCAGCATCAACAATATTATCCAACTACAGGCTTATCAACACCTGGAACACAAACAATTGGCGTGAGGCCGCGTGCCAGCATGGTGAACCAACATGAAAAAAAATTGCTGCTGTCGTCCGGAGCACAAGTCGCCCAAGCACACGGCCAAACGCCAATCAACCCCTTTACGTTGGCGACATCCCACGTAGTAGACACCCCGATCCAGGCACACACTACGAGACTCCCAAAACAGAAAAACGGCCAGTAATTACGCTTCGGGACGTGAAACCGAAACGACAGCAAATCAACGGGGGTACAGTACAGTACAGCAGCATCGACGCTGCTCCCGATCCTCCTCGCGCTTCTCCGCCCACGCACTCTTAAGATTCAGCACATGACCTCCCCCTCCCCTCTATTGATAGCACAGCAAAGCACACCAAAAGTCAAATTCAGCACGCAACGCCCTGCCAAACATAAATATTACCGAACACAAACAAAAGGTCCCCACTGCTGTTGTCCGCCGCTGCCGTCGCATACCTCGTTGTTGCCCCCCCCCCCCCCCCCCCCCCCCCCCCCCCCCCCCCC